GTCCAAAATCATAATAATATCTTATGAAATCTGATGAAAAAAATTGTTGTAGTGTTGGGTTTGAGAACAGACTCGGTCTCGTGTGTGCAATAAACTTTCATTTTAAAAACACAACTCTGCTATTTCACATAAATACATGTTATATCACATTATAGAGTAGATAACATACCACACGAAACCATCACAAACATGGTTGTTCCTGAGGCAGACGGCAGGAAGTCAGTATAATAAAAAAAAACCCAACTCAACCAATCAGAAAATCAGAACTGTGGAGGAGCCAACCTTCCAATAGGAATTTGCTTTGCAGCCATTAATTAAAGGTAATTAAAAATACAGCATTTATCGTGGAAAAAACCCTACTTTTACTGAAACAAAGAACTTAGGAAATTAGGCTAGTTTGTTTTCATTTTAGTCGGTTCGACACTGTTTTAAAATTCTGGTAAAGTGAAGAAGAACCAGTAAAATATGTCTTACTCTATCATTCACTCCCTGTCTGAATGTTAAAAAACGTTTTTACAATCTTATACGGTAATAAATATTGTAGAATACTTTTACATAAGTCCTATATTTACATGTTTAGATTATAGTTAGCATGTCTCACATGACATCACACTACATCCATATATACCCATTGTTGGTCATTTATGTCTACTATCATTCTTTGGGAGTACACAAATGTTTTCATGATACTATTCTTCAAGCATTAGCGTTTTCTCCTGGACGAATGCATATTTAATGATGTTTTCCATCAATTCTAATTTTATTAGAACCAATCAGCCATGATAAAAAATTCCATACTTCATCCAAAACTCCATTATCTTTATGTATGAAAGGTTGACAAGAGGAGTGAACTCATAAACACTGGAACAGTCACAGAACAGTCACTGGAACACATTCACTGGGAACAGTCACTGGGAACAATCACTAGAACAGTCACTGGAACAGTCACAGAAACAGTCACTGAACTGTTACTAGAACAGTCACTGGGAACAGTCACTGGAACAGAACAGTCACTGGGAACAGTTATGGAACAGTCACTGGAAAAAGTCACAGAACAGTCACTTGGAACAGTCGCTGGGAACAGTCACGGAACAGACACAGGAACAGTAGTTGGGAACAGTCCCTGGGAACAGTCACGGAACAGTCACTGGAAAAGTCACAGGAACAGTCGTTGGGAACAGTCACGGAACAGTCACTGGAATTTTCACGGAACAGTTACTGGGAACAGTCACTGGGAACAGTCACTAGAACAGTCACAGGAAACAGTCACTGGGAACAGTCTCTGAACAGTCAATGGGAACAGTCACTGGGAACAGTCATTGGGAACAGTCGCTGGAACAGTCATGGAACAGTCACTGGGAACAGTCACTGGAACAGTCACTGGGAACAGTCACTAGAACAGTCAAAGAACAGCCACTGGGAACAGGCACGGAACAGTCACTGGGAACAGTCACTAGAACAGTCACTGGAACAGTCAAAGAACAGTCCCTGGGAACAGTCACTAGAACAATCACTGGGAACAGTCACTGGGAACAGTCACTGGGAACAGTCACTGGGAACTGTCACTGGGAACAGTCACTAGAACAGTCACTTGGAACAGTCACTAGAACAGTCACCGGGAACAGTCACTAGAACAGTCACTGGAACAGTCACTGGGAACAGTCATGGAACAGTCGCTAGGACAGTCATGGAACAGTCACTGGAATATTCACGGAACAGTCACTGGGAACAGTCACTGGGAACAGTCACTTGAACAGTCACTGGGAACAGTCACTGGGAACAGTCACTGGGAACAGTCACTGGGAACAGTCACTGGGAACAGTCACTGGGAACAGTCACTAGAACAGTCACTGGAACAGTCATTGGGAAGAGTCACTGGAACAGTCACTGGGAACAGTCACTGGGAACAGTCACTGGACCAGCCTGATGACCTACATAACAATCTAAATTAAACATACGATGAGAGAAATGAAAACCTCAGAGATATTTTAGAGTTGCAAACATGTGCAAATTTTCGTGTTTTTAACCGACAAAACAAATCTGTAACGACACACTAATGGATAAGTGAGATAAGATTAACACAACATCTACAACAACTACTTCAGCTAAAACAAATATATGCAAACCACATCTTTTTCTAATATCTTAGTTATTGCGTTATGGTAGAATATTTAGGAATATAGATCACTCACAATCATTTGACCATGCTGGTATGGCACTGCATGACCTATTTATCACATTATAATATTGATTGTTGCTGATTTCCTCTTAAAGGGACAATTAAGTGGATTTTTGTTGAGCAGATTTCAAATTCATTCATAAAGTTTTAGTTCTATTGTTCTGATGAACAATTCATGCCAAAATACTGACATCAAAGGTTAGAATTAAGGAATAGCTAGTTGATTCTGTAACCAGTACCATACAGTAGCAGCTCCTTGCCACCTTATGAAGAAGAATCAGACTGGACCTTTACATACAAAATTTTTTTTTTCTTTTTAAGCTTGATTTCATTTTGCGATTTTTGATTTACAATATTTTTGTTCACAATACAAAACTTTGTGGGAGGGCTGTATTGTCATGTTACCACAGTTTGAAGCCCGAATCTATATCTAGAATAAAACTAGAATTATTACTGGCTTCCTCGAAAAATAAACTCACTACAGCAAACTTCAGCTAGAAGATCTGTGATTATAAGGAGTTTGTCAGTACCTGATTTTAAAACCTGTCATTTGACTTATCTGTCCCTTTAATCAAAGGAAATCAGCATTTATCACCCGAACTGAAATTCAACTTCCATCATCACAAATATCTATACCCAGCATCGGTCAACACTGGTCATTTATCACAAGTAACTTTGAAAGCTGGACAATTGGTTTAATGAGTTTGTTGATAAACAATCAGGAGTACCACCTGAAACAGCTTAAAGATGACGATGGATTTACACAAATTTGTCTTTTCTATTTTACCGCAGTCACAAAACCTCTTCATTCACTCTTGAAAACTTCATTTATGGATGTACTAGATCAAAGAAGCAGAAAAGAGTCATAAAATATTAATTTCATCAACACCTTTCAGAAGAAATGTATATCAAAACCCTCTTGTATTTTATTACCAGAACACATACTGGAAAAAGTGTAAGTTACCTTAAATTGTAGTCAGTGGCTTCGGTGCATATTTCTCATTTTGTTCACATGTTCCCTTCAACCAGCAAAAATTCAGGAGAAAGTTGATACACTGAATATAAAGCCTGATTATAGAGTACATTCATGTGTCCTATTTGGTATCAATGTTAGTTTGAATATATGTTCCCAGACAAATATCAGCAATAAAACGGTAGATTTTTCATTAAACTTCCACAGAGTACTAATCACATCAATTGTTACAGATATTCAGGCAATCATATCTTTTGAGATCCAATAAGAATTCTGTTTACTAAACTTTTTGTATATCTACAACTGACACAACACATAGATAAGGTGTATATATTGAGGGTAGGAATTGATTCTTTGATAAAAGCCTTCTACTTTGTGACTTAAACTGTAATTTATTTCACAATTACAATAATGACCTTGCATTTTACAAAACAGAAAAAATACCTGCAAATAATGGGGAAACCTATATTTGATAAATAACATTTTAATCAGCTGTACTAAATAATTTCAAAACATATCTTTACTCTTTATCTAACTAGTCAAATACCTTTACTCCGCCCATCCTTCATTACATACGGTGAAAACTGAATGTTTCCCAGTTGAATACATTAAACATGTACAAATGATGAAATAGTTTTTTATCAAATTGATAACTTGGAATATTTTATAGGTAAAAATTTGCATCATTACAATTTGTTCGGTCTAGATAAATGTAAATCTTATTAAAACAAAATTTTACCAAAAAGTTTGGTTCACAATATTTATATGTGCTGTATCAGCTTTCTTAAATTTCTGTATCTTTTATGAAAATTGTGCTTCTAAACCAAAAAACAGAAAATAATAATTTTAGAAATATCTGTCAATTTCTGTCATATTGTCGTTTATGGTCTAGATATTAATGGGACGTAACTCTGTTTTCATTTTGGTTTGTACTTGTGTAATTTAACACATATGTGACTAAATCTTCTGACTGTTTTATGTTACCTTCAGTATTCATGTTGTTTTGTGTCAAAAATAGTCTGGATGGAGAATTTCAATGTACAGACCTGAATTTCAAAAAGAATGCATATCAACTTGATGCGGATCACAAAAAACGAAAAAATTAAATCTGGTTGTTGCTTCAGCAGGTAACTAGGGTGTTTGTTGACGAAAAAGAAAAGACAAATTTGGTACATCAAAAATAGGTTGTAGAATACATATACAGCTGTTTTAAGTATTCGGTTCTTTCAGTGTCAACCTCATCATGACCTAGTAATCCAGTAAAACTGAATCACAGAAGAAAGTTTTGCCTTCATCATTAAAAACACTCCTGTAAAATTTACTTACATATCTTTTACAACACTGACTTATCATTAGCTGCTTGTTTCAGCAGATACTCCTATTTAATAATTTTCTATTTGATTTTTTTTTCAAAAGTTTTATCATGTCAATGGAACACTGCACAAAAACTTATACCATCGACAGATTTTGCTAAAAGTTCTGTTTAAGTAAAACATTATTTTATTATTTCAATCTTCTCATTTTTGCTATTTTCTTCCTGTCTAATAATTGACCTCAAGTGCTTGTAACTGAAAAAATGGGAATCATGAAAAATGGAATTCTGCATTTCAATTCATAACAACAGTGAGCTTTAATTTTAATAAAATTAAAGTCTATCTATTTCCCAGAGGTGCAAAATATTCAGTGGAGTACCTGAAATTGCAAAATTGGGTGTTAAAATGATCATGGTTTGTGAAAACTGGAGCAAATATACCATACATCTATCCAACTTGATCTACATATGTATCACTATTATCCTCACAAAACGATGTTCATCACAAACGCTCCAAAGATCCAGATCTTTCTTGTTTACTTGTACATCATTTGCTGATTTGTATCCTCGATTACTAAAGCACCAGAGGCATAACTAACGGACGAATCTCGCATGGTTTTACACTTGCTTGACTGCTCATACTTGACAAACTTGAAAGACATTTTAAATCCATTTCCAGTTACCCTGGATCATCTGTTTTTAAAGAAAACAAAATTTATCTGTTACCCTGGATCATCTGTTTGGGGTATGTTTTTATATAAAGATCAAACAAAATCCATTTCTGTTACCCTGAATCATCTCAAAGCCTGGGGTATGTTTTCAAAATAAATCTGTTACCCTACCCTGTTTAACAAAATGAATCTGTTACCCATCTGTTTGGGGTATGTTTTAAGAAAACAAAATTATATGTTATTTTTGGATCATCTGTTTGGGGTATGTTTAAAGAAAACAAAATTTATCTGTTACCCTGGATCATCTGTTTGGGGTATGTTTAACAAAATGAATCTGTTACCCTGGATCATCTGTTTGGGGTATGTTTAAAGAAAACAAAATTTATCTGTTACCCTGGATCATCTGTTTGGGGTATGTTTAACAAAATTTATCTGTTACCCTGGATCATCTGTTTGGGGTATGTTTAACAAAATTTATCTGTTACCCTGGATCATCTGTTTGGGGTATGTTTAACAAAATGAATCTGTTACCCTGGATCATCTGTTTGGGGTATGTTTAACAAAATGAATCTGTCACCCTGGATCATCTGTTTGGGGTATGTTTAACAAAATGAATCTGTTACCCTGGATCATCTGTTTGGGGTATGTTTAACAAAATGAATCTGTTACCCTGGATCATCTGTTTGGGGTATGTTTAAAGAAAACAAAATGAATCTGTTACCCTGGATCATCTGTTTGGGGTATGTTTAAATGTTTAAAGAAAACAAAATGAATCTGTTACCCTGGATCATCTGTTTGGGGTATGTTTAAAGAAAACAAAATTTATCTGTTACCCTGGATCATCTGTTTGGGGTATGTTTAACAAAATGAATCTGTTACCCTGGATCATCTGTTTGGGGTATGTTTAAAGAAAACAAAATGAATCTGTTACCCTGGATCATCTGTTTGGGGTATGTTTAAAGAAAACAAAATTTATCTGTTACCCTGGATCATCTGTTTGGGGTATGTTTAAAGAAAACAAAATTTATCTGTTACCCTGGATCATCTGTTTGGGGTATGTTTAACAAAATGAATCTGTTACCCTGGATCATCTGTTTGGGGTATGTTTAAAGAAAACAAAATTTATCTGTTACCCTGGATCATCTGTTTGGGGTATGTTTAACAAAATTAATCTGTCACCCTGGATCATCTGTTTGGGGTATGTTTAAAGAAAACAAAATTTATCTGTTACCCTGGATCATCTGTTTGGGGTATGTTTAACAAAATTTATCTGTTACCCTGGATCATCTGTTTGGGGTATGTTTAAAGAAAACAAAATTTATCTGTTACCCTGGATCATCTGTTTGGGGTATGTTTAAAGAAAACAAAATTTATCTGTTACCCTGGATCATCTGTTTGGGGTAAGTTTAAATGTTTAAAGAAAACAAAATTTATCTGTTACCCTGGATCATCTGTTTGGGGTATGTTTAAAGAAAACAAAATGAATCTGTTACCCTGGATCATCTGTTTGGGGTATGTTTAAAGAAAACAAAATTTATCTGTTACCCTGGATCATCTGTTTGGGGTCAGTTTAAATGTTTAAAGAAAACAAAATTTATCTGTTACCCTGGATCATCTGTTTGGGGTATGTTTAACAAAATGAATCAAATCTGTTTGGGGTATGTTAAAGAAAACAAAATGTTAAAGAAAACAAAATTTATCTGTTACCCTGGATCATCTATTTGGGGTATGTTTAACGAAAACAAAATGTTTAAAGAAAACAAAATTTATCTGTTACCCTGGTATGTTTAACAAAATTTATCTGTTACCCTGGATCATCTGTTTGGGGTATGTTTAACAAAATTTATCTGTTACCCTGGATCATCTGTTTGGGGTAAGTTTAAATGTTTAAAGAAAACAAAATGAATCTGTTACCCTGGATCATCTATTTGGGGTATGTTTAAAGAAAACAAAATTTATCTGTTACCCTGGATCATCTGTTTGGGGTATGTTTAACAAAATTTATCTGTTACCCTGGATCATCTGTTTGGGGTATGTTTAACAAAATGAATCTGTTACCCTGGATCATCTGTTTGGGGTATGTTTAAAGAAAACAAAATTTATCTGTTACCCTGGATCATCTGTTTGGGGTATGTTTAAAGAAAACAAAATTTATCTGTTACCCTGGATCATCTGTTTGGGGTATGTTTAAAGAAAACAAAATTTATCTGTTACCCTGGATCATCTGTTTGGGGTATGTTTAAAGAAAACAAAATTTATCTGTTACCCTGGATCATCTGTTTGGGGTATGTTTAAAGAAAACAAAATTTATCTGTTACCCTGGATCATCTGTTTGGGGTATGTTTATCTGTTACCCTGGATCATCTGTTTGGGGTATGTTTATAGAAAACAAAATTTATCTGTTACCCTGGATCATCTGTTTGGGGTATGTTTAAAGAAAACAAAATGAATCTGTTACCCTGGATCATCTGTTTGGGGTATGTTTAAAGAAAACAAAATGAATCTGTTACCCTGGATCATCTGTTTGGGGTATGTTTAAAGAAAACAAAATGAATCTGTTACCCTGGATCATCTGTTTGGGGTATGTTTAAAGAAAACAAAATTTATCTGTTACCCTGGATCATCTGTTTGGGGTATGTTTAACAAAATGAATCTGTTACCCTGGATCATCTGTTTGGGGTATGTTTAAAGAAAACAAAATTTATCTGTTACCCTGGATCATCTGTTTGGGGTATGTTTAACAAAATTTATCTGTCACCCTGGATCATCTGTTTGGGGTAAGTTTAAATGTTTAAAGAAAACAAAATTTATCTGTCACCCTGGATCATCTGTTTGGGGTATGTTTAAATGTTTAAAGAAAACAAAATTTATCTGTTACCCTGGATCATCTGTTTGGGGTATGTTTAAAGAAAACAAAATTTATCTGTTACCCTGGATCATCTGTTTGGGGTATGTTTAAAGAAAACAAAATTTATCTGTTACCCTGGATCATCTGTTTGGGGTATGTTTAAAGAAAACAAAATGAATCTGTTACCCTGGATCATCTGTTTGGGGTATGTTTAAAGAAAACAAAATTTATCTGTTACCCTGGATCATCTGTTTGGGGTATGTTTAAAGAAAACAAAATTTATCTGTTACCCTGGATCATCTGTTTGGGGTATGTTTAACAAAATGAATCTGTTACCCTGGATCATCTGTTTGGGGTATGTTTAAAGAAAACAAAATGAATCTGTTACCCTGGATCATCTGTTTGGGGTATGTTTAAATCTGAAAACAAAATTTATCTGTTACCCTGGATCATCTGTTTGGGGTAACAAAATGAATGTTTAAAAAAACAAAATTTTACCCTGGATCATCTGTTTGGGGTATGTTTAACAAAATGAATCTGTTACCCTGGATCATCTGTTTGGGGTATGAATCTGTTACCCTGGATCATCTGTTTGGGGTATGTTTAAAGAAAACAAAATGAATCTGTTACCCTGGATCATCTGTTTGGGGTATGTTTAACAAAATTTATCTGTCACCCTGGATCATCTGTTTGGGGTTTAAATGTTTAAAGAAAACAAAATTTATCTGTTACCCTGGATCATCTGTTTGGGGTATGTTTAAAGAAAACAAAATGAATCTGTTACCCTGGATCATCTGTTTGGGGTATGTTTAACAAAATGAATCTGTTACCCTGGATCATCTGTTTGGGGTATGTTTAAAGAAAACAAAATGAATCTGTTACCCTGGATCATCTGTTTGGGGGTTTAAAGAAAACAAAATGTTTAAATCAAAACAAAATTTATCTGTTACCCTGGATCATCTGTTTGGGGTATGTTTATGTTTAAGAAAACAAAATTTATCTGTTTCCCTGGATCATCTGTTTGGGGTATGTTTAAAGAAAACAAAATTTCAAAATCTGTTACCCTGGATCATCTGTTTGGGGTATGTTTAACAAAATGAATCTGTTACCCTGGATCATTTGCATTGATAGAAACAATGGGGCAAAGTATCACATACACTTTTGATTAGTATGACTGATAACTTTTTAAATATTTTCAGGAGTAGAAACTGATAACAGATATGATATAGATGTTGGAGAGAACTGAAATAAATAAGCTCAGATGTTCAGGAGATATCTTGTAACACATGTTTAAGTCTTTTTATTTCAAAAATGACTGATCAAGTGTGACCTTTGACTTTTGAATGAATACCATCAAAACCTAATCAGTTGAAGAAATTGATGTTCAATATGATGACAAAACTGTTCGTATTTAAGAAGGAAATTATTTATATCTACCAAGAAACCAAATCATATCATTTTCTAGTTTCCATAACTGCTTGTCAACTGTTTCATGAAAGTTCTTTTTTTCCCCATGAAAGTTAAATTATTTTCCAAAAATCTTTAATGAAACTATTGCTTTCTGCTCACCATACTATCTAAGGCCTTGATAGACTCCCAAATCTCTCCATGTTGCTGATCATAGGAGACAAAATGGAACCTTTGACCTGAAAAAAATAAATGTATTTTACATACAAATAAATTTTCACCCAAGAAATCATCACACCTAACTTTAAAGAAACAACAAAAAACAAAATCTAGAAACCGATTACATGTAACAAGAATCACACATAATTATATGTCTCACCTTTCCTGCTTAATAAGTATGGTCATTTTTAATCAAGATGCAAAATATACTAAAAATCTAGTAAACCTCTCTCCCTTCCTACCCCTGAAAAATGTTCCAAATTTTACCTAATTTGGAGTAACAATCTGTAAATTTGAGAGATATGTTGGGTATCAAAACCTGAAGTGAACATTTTGTAATTTCTTCTGTTCTCAAAATTCACGAAAATATGGTATTTTTACCCCGAAAATATCATTCTGAACCAGAAGAGAGAGAAACTTCTCTGACGTTTCACTGTTTTTGTTTCAATGTGAATATAAACTTGAAGTGAATAGAACAAGCCATGTAGACTTTGAAGTCATTTTTTTAAAATTTGAAATTTTTGTCCCAAAAATAAATAGAAAAAAAAATAAAATTCATGTAAACCAATTGGTTGGTTCAAATGTCAATACTGCAACGAAAAATTTAATTCTGTGATAGGTTGAAATAACACTTGTACTGTATGAGAAACTGAGCTAAATGTAACACTGTCAAGTCCAGATGTTCAGCATCCCTAAATTTCAGAGTTGTTTGACTAAAATATTGAGGATCTAAAAATGAAACTCATTGGATATGGAAAGTGACGCCATTCCCTGACACCATTCCCTCACTGGAAAAGTAACAGTCTCACTTCCTCGAACTTTTGTCACATGCGAGAAAGAAATGAATTTGAAATTTCACACTTTCAAACCAACAATTTTAACTGCTTGCACTCTTGAATTTAAGGCTCTACATGACCAATAACACAACTTAAGCATTATCTGTTTTTGCTGGGTTTATTGCCCTGGGAACAGACAGGGTCATTTTCAGGTGGTGTCTCTAAAGGTAGTCAGAGGCTACTTAAGTGAATGCCATACATAAGGCCTGCCATATACAATCTACAGCAATTGGAATCCTGAGCTGTCCGTAATCTGAACTTTCTGAGATACGAAGATCACCTTGGATATGGAATAGATCTCATTAATACCTACATGTAGAAAACTGAGCTACAAATAATCCCTTTTTAATGAAATTCTAATTTTTTGCTATTTAACATTTTTTTCTTGTCCATGTTTACTACAAAAAAAACACAAGAATTTATTTACCCCAGTGACAAAAGTCTGAAGATATCACAAAGAAGTTGGTGGGATCTGCGAGATATCGACTAAACAGAGCACCATAATCCTGCTCCTTCTCCGTTGATAATGATCCAACAAGAACTGGAATGATAGTAAACTGTCCTCTTTGTCTGAAAATATGAAGTTTCATGTTAATACCTCTTATCGTTTTAGAGTAATGCTCCAAACAAAATTTATCTATGAAAAATAACAAAGGGCAATAACTCCTAAATTATGCAAAAGAGAGTGATTGTTCTTGTGCTCTGCACTGGTCCTTGTTGAGAATTATCTACCTATGCAGTTTTATAGATGGACAGACAAAGTGACAACAACTGGCTCTCCAATCAAGGAGCATAAAAAACCAACACAAACTACAGGCTCTCCAATCGGGGAGCATAAAAAACGAACACAAACTACTGGCTCTCCAATCAGGGAGTAGAAAAAAACGAACAAAAACTACTGACTCTCCAATCAGGGAGCATAAAAAAACAAACAAAAACTACTGACTCTCCAATCGGGGAGCAGAAAAAATGAACACAAACTACTGGCTCTCCAATTGGGGAGCAGAAAAAACAAACACAAACTACTGAGTGAACAATTCTAACTATCTTACATCTGGACCCAGATAATCTATGTCAATGTGACCCAGATAATCTTATGTCAATGCGACCCAGATAATCTTATGTCCATGCCATCCAGATAATCTTATGTCAATGCCACCCAGATAATCTTATGTCAATGCCACCCAGATAATCTTATGTCCATGCCACCCAGATAATCTTATGTCAATGCCACCCAGATAATCTTGTGTCAATGCCACCCAGATAATCTTATGTCAATGCCACCCAGATAATCTTATGTCCATGCGACCCAGATAATCTTATGTCAATGCCACCCAGATAATCTTATGTCAATGCCACCCAGATAATCTTATGTCAATGTGACCCAGATAATCTTATGTCCATGCGACCCAGATAATCTTATGTCCATGCGACCCAGATAATCTTATGTCAATGTGACCCAGATAATCTTATGTCCATGCGACCCAGATAATCTTATGTCCATGCGACCCAGATAATCTTATGTCCATGCCACCCAGATAATCTTATGTCAATGCCACCCAGATAATCTTATGTCAATGCCAGAGATTTTTAAGGCTAGTAAAAACTATCAAAATTTGCACTGAATACAGTTTTGTTTACTCCTGATTGATGTGATGCACAATGCCATTTACACCTAAATCAAAATAACACAGTTTAAAAACTGAGGCAAAAGCACTTTTAATCTTAATATATTTAACTCTTATATTTCAATAAAATGAAGCAACTTTTACTTGTTGAAATATGTTAATACACTGTGCTTGCCAGAAAAGCAAAAAACAGAAGTAGTTATTAGGAGCAAATGTTGAATAAACTGTTAAAGATCTTCCAAGTTATACAGACAGAACAGTATTTCTGCACACAAATAATGAATGTTTCTTAAAATTGCAATTATTTCATGAAAATGCAACAAATGTTTTGTCAGAATCATTAAACATGGATTTGTTTTCATTCTAGCTTCGTGGTAATATGAGGTGTAAGAAGTACATCTTCAGTACTAATGGTCATGTACATGATAAGAAAAAATCAAGGAAAACCAAAGAAAAAACATGAGTAAAGAACTATTTTCAAAGGTTGTGGACCACAATAAACAGACATATGTATTACTGAATTGATAACTTAAAGAGAGAGCAATGGTGTTTTTTTTAATACACAATCTTGAAGGACAGTTGTTATAACAGGTAATGATAGAGTCATGATTTTATCATTTATAAAAATTGTTATCCACTTCCAACTGGAACTGGTAGTAGAGTATATAACAAGTATCAATTATAACTGATTTTTAATTGGTCCTCAACTTTCATCCTACACCACTCTACAAAAGGCAGTTCCATGTCAGTACATTATAATATGATCATAACAGCAGGCTTATCATCCAAGGGAGGTAACTCAATAATATCAGTTAAATCTTTAAACAGGAGTTCGTTAATTTTTCAGGACTTTGTTGTACTTAAATTCCTTTAAGCTTAAACAGGAGTTAAATTTGAACAAGATTTTTTTTCTAGATTTCTTAATTTAACTTTGGTTTGTAAAATATAAAGAGACTATATATATGGACAACATCAGAGCAAAAACAATTTCTGGGCTCAGATCAAGCTTTCAAATTAAATCTTTAATTGATATGCAGCAAATGTTACATGTTTTTACAATACATAGGACAACCACAACACAACAAATGAAAAACTGCTCTAGATTCTCCCAGTCATATCAAATACGATTCAAGGGAGGTAACTTCAATCAATAACATCCTGTCAGCATTCTAGTAATCCAATAATATATTGTAACATAACAAAAAAAAATAAGACTTATAAGAGTTACAAACTTTTAATCCATAAATGTTAGTTTATGATATCAACAGCTGATGCATTTATTTTAAAATTAGATTTCTTGTATGCAAATTTAAAGACGTCTTTGTGTGTGGATAGGTAAAACTGATGATACGTAACGAATACTAGATTTTGAAGAAAAAAAAAGAAATCATTTGCTGACCAGTACCTACCGTTCCATTACTTTGGCTATAAATGGTAAGTGCATTTCTATACTATGTTCATCTTCATCTGTAGAAATCTTCATTGTTTCAAATTTTCCAGTTCCATAGAGCTCTTGGTTAACTGTATACAAAAAGACACCGGACGTACATTGCAGATCATTATTTCACTTTTGTCTCTGGTTTTCCCAACAAATTTATCAAATATAAGACTTGTCTGAAGTAACTTCAGTGAGGGAAAAACAATATTTCCTCATCTACAGCAAACAAAAGCTATCATTCAAATATTCGTGTAATTTTCTAGGCTGGACTCGTAATCATCAAAAACTTAATCTGAATGTCGGACAAAAGTAATAAACATTATAACTTATTATGTTTTTAACAACAAATTTACATTTTTATTTGTACACAGTTTTATAAAACATGTGTTTCCATCAACTGAAACTGAACACTACAAACTCAGCACTACCTACTTTGCTGGTCCACTGTGAGGTCATACAGAGGAGTGGAATAAATCTCTGTAGCAGTCAGCGCACAACCTGACAGTCGGACATGATGGGACGGACCAAGAATAAACACACGACGTCTGAGGAATCACAAAAATGTAAGCAAAAATAATTTTAAATAGCAACAGCCAGAGCAATTAAATAATATTCTTCTTTTACAGAAAATCAAATACCTGGTATGTTCTATTATTATAAAGCATAGATTTATAGAAATAATTGATTTTTTATATTTAAAAACAGTTTAAATTTTTCCAACTGTCTATGGCCAGGAAGGGATGCAGGATTTTCTTATGCAACCTTACAAAAAAGGAGATATTTTCTAAAACAAAGATTGAAATAACACTTTTTAATGTTTTAGATCTGATTATTGAATTGCAAAGTTTTAAATTTAAAAAAAAAATGTATTCCTCTGCAGGGAATTCATGATGTGGAAAGAAGAATTTTCAATATCTGGATTTCTGAATAGGAAAAATCTGCCCAGTGTCTCATTTAAGAAACCTTGGTTGTGATTTCCCTGTCTCCTCCTTTGGTACCAACAACCTTTGATAGGTCATGATCCATATTTCAGAACTTTATATCAGAGTACATGTATGTTGATTGTACTTTTTTAAGGGTCATTGTGTAAATATTTGTTTGCCCATAGTACCACAGATTGAAGTTTGAATTAAAATTGTGTTGACATTTTAGTATTTTTATATGGCCTTTTATGCTCTGCATGACTCACGGCTGAATAATGCTATAATGTATAAATTTCTGTTTAATCTACATATTGTAGAGCTGTAGATAATAGACAAAACAATGATACACTTACACTCTACTTGGATCTACCTGTCTGTAAGCATGGGCACCACATCCACCACAGTAGTAATATCCTGCATGACTGAAATGATAAACAATCAACTCAAAACTGGTGTGACAATAAAAATTTACAAAGCTGTGCTCCAAACCACTGATTTTTAACTCCTAACAAGTTGTTTTCCTTATTTTGCCAATCAGCGAGCAGTCTTCAGTAATAATAATAAACGTGTCTTCATTGGCTGCAAGCTAAGCTGTACATGAATAGTACACACTACACTAGACTTTAATTACTATAACTATTCCAGTAGATTTGACTTACATCACTATGATTTGACTTACATCACAATGAGTTTACTTACATCACAATGATTTTACTTACATCACAATGATTTGACTTACATCACTATGATTTGACTTACATCACTATGATTTTACTTACATCACTATGATTTTACTTACATCACTATGATTTGACTTACATCACTATGATTTGACTTACATCACTATGATTTGACTTACATCACTATGATTTGACTTACATCACAATGTTTTTACTTACATCACTATGATTTGACTTACATCACTATGATTTGACTTACATCACTATGATTTGACTTACATCACTATAATTTGACTTACATCACTATGATTTGACTTACATCACAATGTTTTTACTTACATCACTATGATTTGACTTACATCACAATGATTTGACTTACATCACTATGATTTGACTTACATCACAATGAGTTTACTTACATCACAATGATTTTACTTACATCACAATGATTTGACTTACATCATCATGATTTGACTCACATAACTATGATTTTTCTTATACTTACGGTGCTATGATGGCTCGAGCAGGAGCTTGGCACACAGGGGCCTTCGACAACCATGATGTGAGTTGAGAATCTAATTCCTTTCCTGTTGATCAAAATTGAAATCAAGATTTGTAATTAGTTCCATGATAGTAAACAGATTGCAGTCAGCTAATATTGAAGCTTGAAATTTTCCACCAATGAAAATTTACACACTAGGTATTGATTACTTTAAATCATTGTAACACATGCATGTTGTGGAAAAGTACAAATACATTACGTACATGTATATGTATATTACAATCAATCTGTATAAAAACAGGCATACATTATTGTACAAGCAAAGCTCTTGCCTAGTATGGTTCACCTCAGGACCATTCTTCAGGGCATATAGTGCAGCACACAGTACATTCAACATTTTCCTGATTAAGAATTATGCATTTTTTCAAGTAATCATTTTTAATTGATGAGATAAAAAAAGCTTTTTCAACATTTTATCATATTTCTGAATTTCAGTCAGTCACTATTTCTATGTTTTGCTGTTCTATGAACATAAGTTTGTATAGTGTTGGCCAATTGCCTTATCATCTAATTTTGATGAACTCTTGATTGTTTTGAATGACATTGTGTCCTGACAACCTGACTATAAGTACCCTACTCTCAAGATCTGTCCCTAACAATAGAATAAACAACTCCTGGATTTTGAATTCAATTCAATTAAGTTCAAAATAACAATCATGAAGACCTAATCAAATGATGTTATTTCTTTATTTCATTTGATAACAAAGCTTTCATCACAAAACACTGGAAAAGAAAAAATAATCTGAAAATTTAATCAATTTTGAATTCAGTCTGGGTGAATTCTAATGTCACTATTTTTAGATATTCTGCTTATTTTTGTTTATCAATCATTGAGGAGGTCGAAGGAATCTGAACATGTATTTTAGATCATGTTTTAAATTTGAGTCATGGTTGATGGTCATAATTATAAAAAGAAAATGAAATTTCAAGGTAATTTCATTGCTATATTTCCCCTTTTGTAACAACCCCCCCCCCCTCCCCAAACACACACCTCCCTCCTCTCCTTCCCACCACAAGACCCACCGTTTATACAAAATTGATCACCTTCTGACTTAGTGAGATAAAAAAGGGTGTACATTCCTGATAGTGTGGTAAACCTTCAAATTAATCACTACTTAAAAGAACTAGCTTGTAACCCCTCCCCTCCTCTGAGGCTCACCAGACAAAAAAGATCATTAATCAATAAATTACTTAAAGTGTACAGGAGCCAAGACTCCCCGGACTCCTACATATGTACACCAGACAAGCATTTTGACACACAAATATCATCAGTGCAACAGGAAACATAGGTTAGTCTGTGTATCTACTTTGAGAGAAATAGATATCAGAACTCTGGAGAAAATATGTGTGATGGATTGTCAGTGAACTACATCAGAATTGGAGAGGATATTGATGAAGAGTTCTGATAAATGCTTGACCATCACAAAACATGTGATTGAACTCATATTTCAATGGTTTAAAATCAACTTAATATTTCAATGTGTTACCCTTTTACTTTAATTTATTTCATTCATTATTGATTTATTATTATCATTCATTTAATTAATTTCAAGAAATGATTTTATTTATTCATTTCTTTATAATACATAACATTTTAAAGATATTTCTATATCATCTTGGTTAAGGAGACCATTTAAGAATGTACAGTGTTAAAATATGAAATCAACTATATAAATGCTTATAGATAAATACATATGCATTTATCGCTAATGTTATCAAATGTGAGTGTGTGATCCATTAAATTAGTACAGCTTGTAAAACAAACTTCTGTCGTGTACCAAAAAATCATAAAAATATACTCGTGTTCCTATCTTTATATTCAGAGCTCCATTTTTCAGTTATACATCATCATACATCATCAAAGAGGACCGAACCATGATCGAGTCGGTTAATTTGATTGATTCAAGAAAGCGGACCTGCATCTTATATAATTGTATAATTACATCAGTACTGTAAAATAGATAAATATATTGATTAAAACACCATTTCTGAAAAAATTGATCAAACAATGGATAAAAGCTAGCAAAAATGCTTTGTTTCGTGTTCAGCTAATTTAATGACGCTGGCCATCAACTGGATCATGATCAGCTGTTCACAACAATCGGCCGTGCAGAAAATTCCATTTATCCAGTCAACAACATCTCATCATAACATTGTTTTTAGGCTTCGAAAACTTACCATCACTAGAGTACCAACTTCCAGCATGTGTTGCCTGGCGAACCTTGGCCATATTCGAACCTATTTTGGTTTTATTTTGGCAGAAACTTGCAGTACTGATGTCTATTTATCAACACAAAGCCCATCCGGAAGTAGTGTTCATTCGGGTCTTGCGCAAAACTTTTTTAATCGCCTTGTGATCTGCATCGCAAAAGTGTTTGAAAAGGCGCATTCGAGTAACAGTTGATAAAATTTAAGTAACATAATATTTAGGAAATATAGTTTCTAAAAAAAAAAAAAAAAAGCGAAAGTATGTTTTTTCATACTGTTTTGCCAATTTCAAATAGATTCTGAGCTTCCAGCATAAAGCTATTATTAAAAAGAAATTTTATACATTCCAACTTAGTTGTAACAGGGACGTATAATACAGATATTTGTATTATACGTCCCAGGTTTTATTCTATACATGTACGTACCTGTTCTTGTCCCTGGAAGCAGGGACGTATAATACAGAATTATACGTCCCTGCTGAAAGTCAAGAGTCAAGAAGTCTTATTCAAAGTCGCATATTACAAACAGGAAAGACATTAGCACTGTAGTGTTATTCTTGCGACAAACATAGGTATAAGATTAACAATATCACAGTGCAGTTATATAAATACTATGTACATTATTAATATCAACATATCACAGTTAGTTTAGAACTAGATATAATAATTAAAGAAACAGTTTAAAAATGGATGACAGATTACTGTTACTTATTAGTACTATATCGTCGGCTGTACAGTGATCCCACCGCCCTATACCACAAATGGGGTGACACATTTAGTTTTATCAATAAATCGGAGAACCCTTTACAAGTGTGTTTGTTGGTGTTTAAACTGGCAAAGATCTACACTACTAAAATATCTCACACAAGGATCACTAAATGCTGAAGTTAAGACACTATCTAAGTGTAATTTACAAATATGCTAACATAGCAAAACATAAAAATTGACATAATATACACTAATATAGTGTGTATTAAAAGAAACAAGACAGGCTAGTCTGGCAGACCCTAAAATTTGAAAGATATCAATGATTATATAAAACAAATGACTAGGTATTTTAACGAAATTAACAATTGCACTGTTATTTAAACGAACAAGTGCTGGTGAGGGACTCAAAAGGGGAAACAACTCACACAGTAAAGTGTGTACAGATAGTACAGGAAGACACCTCAGCATCTGCACTTCATTAGCTCTCCCAAATATGTCTAATATAATATAATATAATTAATTCATGCAGTCAAGTCATTATATGTGCCTGTTGTCTACCATGTGGGAGAAATCTATAAGGCACCATTTTGGTAGCCTCTACAAAATGTGATATCCCTGATTCGAATTATTAGTGATATTATCATGTCAGATGATTGATTTGAATTAATGATAAATAAAAAATAAATGTCCAGAATTATTGATATCAATAATTAGGAATTACAATAATTCAATGATTATCAATAATTTGACTTAGTAATATCAGGGACGTCCTTGGCCATATTGATAATTCGAATTAGTGATATCACTAAATGAATTAATTATATCAATAATTCGGTTTGATGATATCGATGAATACTTAAAAATGTCACTCATTCGAGTTATTGGAATCAGGGAATAAGACAGGAAAGTTAGGACAGGGAGTAAGACAGGAAAGTTAGGACAGGGAATAAGACAGGAAAGTTAGGATAGGGAATAAGACAGCAAAATTAGGACAGGGAATAAGACAGCAAAGTTAGGACAGGGAAAATGACAGCAAGGTTAGGACAGGGAATAAGACAGCAAAGTTAGGACAGGGAATAAGACAGCAAAGTTAGGACAGGGAATAAGACAGCAAATTTAGGACAGGGAAAATGACAGGAAAATTAGGTCAGGGAATAAGACAGCAAAGTTAGGACAGGAAATAAGACAGCAAAGTTAGGACAGGGAATAAGACAGGAAAGTTAGGACAGGGAATAAGACAGGAAAGTTAGGACAGGGAATAAGACAGGAAAGTTAGGACACGGAATAAGACAGGAAAGTTAGGACAGGGAATAAGACAGGAAAGTTAGGACAGGGAATAATACATGAAAGTTAGGACAGGGAATAAGACAGGAAAGTTAGGACAGGGAATAATGCAGGAAAGTTAGGACAGGGAATAAGACAGGGAAGTTAGGACAGGGAATAAGGCAGGAAAGTTAGGACAGGGAATAATGCAGGAAAGTTAGGACAGGGAATAAGACAGGGAAGTTAGGACAGGGAATAAGGCAGGAAAGTTAGGACAGGGAATAAGACAGGAAAGTTAGGACAGGGAATAAGACAGGAAAGTTAGGACAGGGAATAAGACAGGAAAGTTAGGACAGGGAATAAGGCAGGAAAGTTAGGACAGGGAATAAGGCAGGAAAGTTAGGACAAGGAATAAGGCAGGAAAGTTAGGACAGGGAATAAGACGGTAAGACAGTTTATTTTCAATGTGCTAAATAACGGGGAAAACCGTTCTTGTACGGACAAATGTACAGTTTATCTACGATGGTTGTCCTTGATATAGAAAAACAAACTTATCACATTCCCAGACCATTTTATAGTCTGGTTTTTTTAACGTCAATTAACAAGAAAGGGAAAATCCATAGCTTATTTTATATATATATATATATATACATATATATGTATGAGAATGATAATCAGAAACACGATGTGCATTTAAGTGTAAAGCATGAGCGCTTTCATGTATTAATCTTCAGACGCTTTACATGGTTGCCTACACGGTTACAATCTATGACGTCATCAACGACTTGATTATACATTGTGACGTCATAGAATATATATATCGATCTTGTGTTTTGACAGGACATCATGATTTCCTGCGTACGTATAATCATATATATGGCTTTTCTGTCATAACATTGAAATATTATTACATGTATCAATCGATAAAGAAATCTGCCGAGAAATTTTCAGAAATGTGATATCTACCATCAGCATGAAAAAAACTTTTCCAAAAAGTGAGTTTAATTATTACATTAAACAACAATTAGTAACGATTTCTTTGTCACTGTCAAATTAAGTTGAACTGAAATGGGAAACAGATTTTGTAAAAACCCACCTCTTCATAATCACTACAATGGATTTCATTTTAAAAAGTGGACAAATTACGGATTGTAACTATTGGACACCGTGATATTCAAAGTAACAAATAATTTCTACAGTACAAACATCAATATATTACTTCTTTGGGTAGTACAGGCGCAAGTTTTTCTTCTGAATTATATGTCAAATGTTTTTTTATCATAGGCCGAGTACAAAATGAACCCAGACTACAGATATCATTATCTATGACCTCCCTTGTCGATACCTGTCTAGCTAAGTCATCATCGGGAATGACTGCCCAGAAATTCCTCTGCAGTCTAAGCTAGGATTGACAGATGGAATTTATCTCTTATATTTTTCTTTCGGTGATACCTAAAGTCACAGGGACTTGGTACGAATTCCCAACCCACGGTCCATGTGTATGGATGTGTGTGTTATAGTCACTATGATACATATATGTGGACGGTGTGTCAGAAATTCGTGTCAAGTCCCTGTACGTAAATATATAAGTATGCCGTCTCTTACTATGTATAAGTAAACTATGTAATTCGGATTTCCACAAAAGATATTGTTTATTCATGCAAACTTGACATAAAACGAGTGTAATCGATAGTACCCAGTTAATATACAGCGGCCCTATTTATGATACGTAACTAATGTATTACACTATAGTCTGTTCAACCGATGTACTAAAATGGCGCCAAATTATCCTCATTACAATAATTATTTAATGTAAACTTATTGACCTAAACGTCTCCGAGATAAGATCACATTTGTTGATGTTCCTATGGTAACGTGGTAACTATATGTTAACGATGTTGGTACATCTCAGTCTGTTATCTTCACATCCGGGATATTCGTTTTACAACACTGGTGTGAAAGGTCGACTTCTACCGACAGTTATCATTAGTCTACTGCTCATTCTTTTCAATGCCGTTTTTTCTTTTGGATTAAAAGGGAAAAAACTTATTTGTAAGCCAAGGACCTTTTACAATTGACACATTTCAATGAAACATTCACAATATAAATAAACAAACGAATAAATAAATAAACGATTATTAAATATCGAGGAAGTCAAATAAAATCACCTGCTGTTTTAATCAAGGGGCGTTTTACCAATATCAATCAATAAAAACTGAAACGACAAATATTTAACAAGTCATAAAATATTGAAAAACAAAAAGACTTTCATCACATCTGCCTATTGTTAAAAAACGGCGGATGTTACGTAAACACCCCGGTCAGCGGTACTTACCAATAAGCTATATAATAACATTACAGGTAACATTGATAATGACAATACTACTTAATTATATAATGATGATGATGATGATGATGATGATGATGATGATGATGATGATGATGATGATGATGATGATGATGATGATGATGATGATGATGATGATGATGATGATGATGATGATGATGATGATGATGATGATGATGATGATGATGATGATGATGGTGGTGATGATGATGATGATGATGATGATGATGATGATGATGATGATGATGATGATGATGATGATGATGATGATGATGATGGTCGTGGTGATGATGATGATGATGATGATGATGATGATGATGATGATGATGATGATGATGATGATGATGATGATGATGATGATGATGATGATGATGATGATGATGATGATGATGATGATGATGATGATGATGATGAAGATGATGATGATGATGATGGATGATGATGATGATGATGGGATGATGATGATGATGATGATGATGATGATGATGATGATGATGATGATGATGATGATGGAGATGATGATGATGATGATGATGATGATGATGATGATGATGATGATGATGGAGATGATGATGATGATGATGATGATGATGATGATGATGATGATGATGATGATGATGATGATGTTTGATGATGATGATGATGATGATGATGATGATGATGATGATGATGATGATGATGATGATGATGATGATGATGATGATG